GTTCAACACTCCAAAAACAGAATTGAACTCCATTTCTCATAGGTTATCAGTGGTTGGACAATCTTTGATGCTCAATCGCAACTAGGGCTCGGTTGGAGGGTCTGTGGTGGGCCTTCCTGTTGGACCTGGATCTATTTCGAGCAGAGTTTCGCACTCAACAAACAAAATTGAACTCCAGCTCCAACAGGTTATCAGTTCTTGGGCAGTCTTTTGTGCTCAATCGCAACTGGGGCTAGGTTGGTGGTCGTTTATGTTGAATGAGATATAAGTAAAGTGTGAGTGAACTCTCACTTAAGTGGATTGCTCGGGGTTCACACCGCAAGTGTGAGTGAACCCGCAATTAGATGGAGAGCTAGTTGCGCACATCATCAACGTGGTGATTTAATATAGACGCTGGTTTGTCATTTATATATTCCCTGGTGAAAATGTCATCACATCTTTTCATGGACAAGATTCATTACATCCATTCATAACATTCACTTTTCTCATTGCAAACATCGATCCCCTCCTTGACATGAGCATCTCTTCATTAAGAACATCAATGCATCCCATGACATGAAGATGAGAGATCGAAACACAGGCAAAATCACTATTGTGAAAGTCGGAGAGATGGAGAGAATGAAACACTTGCAAGTTGCCTGGTGTTTTTCTAAAGGTCAAGTTGTACACCACACGAAATGTTTCCATTGTAATGTCGAATGAGATGATAGTGCGAGTGAACTCGCACTTAAATGGAGAGTTAGGCGCGCACATCATCAGTATGGTGATTTAATATCGATGCCACCTTGTCATTTGTATATTCTCGGGTGAAAATGCCATAAAATCTTTACATGGACAATATACATAACAACCCTTCGTAACATTAACTCTTGTCATCGCAAACACCGAGATCGAAATACTTCAAGTTGCCTAGTGTTCTTCTAAAGGTCAAGTTGCACACCACACGGAGAGTTTCTAAAAATCATTTAATGCAAAAAATCATTTAGTCGCACATTGCGAAGTACACAGAGACTTTCCAAAAATCATTCAATGCAAAAAGTCGTTCAATCCCACATTTCAAAGTACACGGAGACTTTCCAAAAATCACAAAGTTCATGCAGTCTTTCCAAAAATCATTGAAGGACACGTTCTAAGGTACATATAGACATTTCAAAAATCATTCAAACCCACGTCGTAAAGTACATGGAATCGAGAGGAAACGGCGAATGACTTGCGCCCTCATCTACACAACATGCGAATGTGGATATCTTGGGGAAAAATCAAGCAGTAGACCGATGTTGTACAGTCTACATGACACGCCCTCATCTACACAAGACGCTCCCGTACAGTCTACAACATATTATTCGTTACAATAAAACATTATACTGTGTCCTCTTTCTAACGAATTCATATTTGGTTGCAACCTAAGCAACGGAGGCACGCCCATCCAGGGCTTAACCACATGTAGAAGCGTGCTGAGATCCGTACTTGTGAAACTTTATAAATGATATCCCAAATGCGGAACCGTGTTGAGACCCATACATGTTAGGTACACCGCCCGGAAACCCTGTGCGAAAGTGTGTTGAGATCCTTACCTGTTGAACTTCAAAAATGTGTTGGGAATCCTGTGCGGAAGTGTGTTGGGATCCATAGTTCTTGAACTTCATAAATGAATAACGATAGGCATGCCCATCAGGGAACCCTGTGCGGAAGTGTGTTGGGATCCTTACTTGTTAAACATCAAGTTTAGAAATATGATGAAAGACATTATATTGTGTCCTCTTTCTAACGAATTCATATTTGGCGGCAACGTCTCCACGTAGGCACGCCCATCCACTCGCCCTAAATGCGGAAGTGTGCTGAGATCCATACTTGTTGAACCTTATAAATAAAATGACCAATGTACTCAGATTGAATTAGACAGTATAATTATTTTCGCTATCCCAAACAGTGTGCGGAAGTGTGTTGAGATCCATACTTGTTAAACTTCAAGTTTATAAAATGTGATGAGTAAGGTGTCATGATTGAACCGTTGTTGGATATCATATTATATTTTTTTTACTATGTTATCCCTAAGTTGTGAAAGCATACCCATCGTTTCGCCCAAGACGGTTGTTTGGATGTTGAAGAGATCCGGACATCCGCATATAGGTACGCTCATCATCTCGTCCAACATGAGAGCACTGAGATCCATACTTGTTTACAGTTGTGATGAGCAAGGTGTTTTGTAACGACCACTTAAATTTTCACATTCTGTGTAAAAGTCTGAAACTTCAAATTATGCTTATTCACGATCGAAATCCGCACTTTAAATGGTCATGCAAAAAAGGTTTGGACACGGACGCAAGTTTCTTGGTTACATGCAATGCACGTGGTCACAAGGCATGTGATCCTATGCACACGCAATAGACATTACGCCACTGATCCTAACATTGGTTAACGCATCCACTGACCAATTTGTCATGCATTTACTCGCTGAAAATTGTCACACTGTAGATGAGATTTGACATGCATCCACCAACCAATTTGTCAATCATATGTACACTTCGAGTTGAAAAAAAAATAAAACATGGAACGCATTGTATGCCATGTTCTGCTGCATGCGAGATGACAGGGACGTGACAGGGATTACCAAGTGTATACATGACGTCGGACATGCAATGAGTCTGTCGAAGACAACTCAGACTCGCAACGACAAAATAAAGCAATGTCGTTGTCAAAACGACAGTTGAATAATGTCATGATTTACAAAATATAATCAACAACAAATGTAATACCTTCAAAAAAAGTTTCTAAGTCAATCAAATTCATCAAAGACACCGATTTTCTAAGATACATGATGCCAATTGTGGTCTAATAAGCAGAATATCTTCACAAGAGATTCTGAAAGGCGGGCGATCACCACGTTACAACAACGTCGCAAACATCAACATGAACACCCCGCAACTAGCTCCATCTACTTGTCTCGGAACTCCATCCACCACAACATTCCCCGATATCGACTTCCAATTCGCACCCGACTGCGTATGTGATGCTTGACGTTCCAAATACTCTACAATCAACTCGAAAACACTAATTTAAAAACTCGAATCAGTTACAACGCGAGGAAAATAATAAAAAATTTTGCGAACACCATCTCTCAAGTTGACGGAAAGGAGGATCGAGTGATCATTATCTTTGTGGTCAGGAACGAAGATAATATCATATCAAAGCAATCAACATTTTTAGCCCACCTCTGCACCCCACTGTATCCTTGAAGTTGCATTTTACTGAAGAAGAACGAATTATAACTGAAGACTTTAAGGCCTGACGAGATGTCACGCAACCCATATGCGGTCGACCCCAACACCGCCATACAGAAATTGATCACCTCATCATTCATCCCGCCGTCAATATGCAAGACGATGAGGATACCTTTTACTGCAATTCAGAATAAACCATCGGCCATAATAGAGAGAACAGTGTGAGGTGGCACCGAGCCTCGTCTAATGTCGTCAAAAACCCGCAAGCTTGGAGGTGCAGCCGCTGCAGCGAATCTTCTCCAGCGTGTTCCACGTGTTGTGGCCCGCACTGCATAACACTGAGCAAAGGACATGTGGGGCAGTGAGAAAAAGAGTTCTAGGCATTGTCCCCCACTGCACGACACGTTGCTAAGTATTTCTCATACAAAGCCTGACCTCTACTCACAGATTGTGGATATGTCCCTTTCTCTGGGGCTAGAAGGGAAAGACATTCGTCAATGGCAACAACTTGTTGCTGCTTACCGATCTCGACATCAACCCCTAATGCCTTTAACATTCCCTTGTGTTTTGTCGTCAACCCGGGGACTTTCTGCCATATGTGTTCTGGATATTTGGAGGACCTCCGTGTTCGAGATGACCCCAACCTTGTACGACAAAAGAAAGATAGAACGGAAAATGAATACACATTCTCCAACACGAACCCGACGTAAGTGACAATGTGAGAACCATACAATCGTACAGATGCAACAGTCAGGCAGAACCTCTCCGATCACAGGACCCTTATTTTGTTTGGTCATGAGCACCGAGGTGGGTGTACGTGGCTAGAAAACAAAACGACTACCGCATTCGAGCTTAACACCCCCGCCCTTCACAAAGAAAAATCACCATAACTCATAGAAGCCGAACGCGAGGATTCCCCAAACTTCGGATTCCGACGGACTTATCAACACATCAGGCCCACAAAGACTGACCACATTACGCATCGACACAGAAAGTTCGGATTCGGGCGGACTAAAACCGGCACTCTTTCCGAGAAGGAAAAAACGACAGTGCATTTACTTGGCAAGTTTCTTAGCCGGGGAGACGTTTGCAAAGGAATGCGTTAAAAGAAACACACTTCACAGAAGGATAGATCCTTCCTTAGATGGAGTGTTATGTTTCTGATGAAGTCTTCGCTGCCCGCGACCAGCAACCCGACGGATCCATAGAACAAATGATGGGATGGAGTTGGAAGGACTGGTGGCTGTAGTATGTAGGCACCCGAAACTTCCCGTATCTAGAGACATTGTGGACAGTCGTCGTGTGTATGGCCCGGGCTGTGGTCTGCCGACATCCAGACTACGAAGGAATCCCCTATCTCGTTTTCGTAATCTTGTGCGCACAGGTAGTGTGGCTCACGATGTACTAGTCGGTTTGTCTCTCTGCTCCTTCATCGGTGAAGTTGGCGGGGGCAAAGCGAGCATGTCGAGAGCTTGACTGCCAACCCTAGATTTTTTAGGGGATGTGACATGTTGTCGTCCCCTGACCTCGCCTTCCCCTCCACTAGCGAGGGTGGCCAGCAGCACCTTAGAGTTCGGCGACGAGGAAGCGAGAGCAGCTGCCACGGAAGATGCGACGTTGCCAGCGCCGTCGACGTCAGGCATTGTGGACGGATGCGTGGACACGTGCTGGTCGCCGAGGCTACCGTCGATAACTTCGTCGATGGTTATACAACGACTTGCTTTAGACGGGCTCATAGCAATGGCAGCCTCGTCGAACCGGTGTTGCAAATCGACGGCAGACGTCAGTGGTTGGACCTCGTAGTCTTCAGGCTCTACTGAAAGGTTGCTAACCACCTATGTCTCCATCTCCATTGTTGTGGCATTGTCGTCGACATCATCCTCGTGATGCTCTCCGTACAGTTGTCCAAACTCGTCAGACGAATCTTTTGATCCGGCATCATCATCACTGTCCTCTTCTTCGTCGTCTCCAACACTCACATCCCCTTTCGCACCCTCTCTTCCTTCAAGCATTTCAATGAGCTCCGTTTCTCCCCCTTCCTCCCCTTCCTCCCCTTCTTCCCCTTCTTCCTCTTCTTCTTGCGCTTCCTTCCCCTCCTCCGTTCCCTCCCCTACTTCCCTTCCATGCAATTCAGCCCCTTCCCCGTAGCCCGCGTTGAATCCCGAGGACCGCCATTCTGTCTCCGTGTATGCTGCCCCTCTCTGCGGCAAGACATTCCCCGGCCGACACCACCCGCCTGAAGAAGTTCGGATCTCGGCGGACTTCGTCGTCTCCGTGTCGCCGGACCCTGCACTTGTAGCCTCTCGCTGCAATCCTAGCGGCCGTCCCTCCCGCTCAGGCGACACATTCCTGTCCCTCACCGCACCGCTACCAATTGCGGGATCCTGGCTCGGCTCCCCCAACCCCGAGCAGCTCTGGAGGGCAGACCGCTCTGGCGGATCCTCAACCGACGTAGTTCCGATCTTGGCGGAACGTTGCGGCTCCTGAGAGCAACCAAGGCTGCCAATGTCTCCCTCGCTCAGCCCACAGACAAAGTCGGGAGGTCAGCGAACTGTGTCGTATGCTCCTGCGAAGGGCCAGTAGACGGATGTCGATCGACTGCAATACCCGCCACCCCGCCGCTGCCTCTTGGTGTCGTTGTGCCGCCGTGAGACCCTCCCTCCCCACCAGGCGAGATTCCTTTGGCACCCCCCGCACCACCACCCCCGTCCCCTCCACGTCCAAGTGCCACCCCCCCGGGACTACCGTGCGGCCCACTGGGAGGGGGCACTTTCCAGTCCACCACGCCCTTCGACGAGCTCGTGTCGAGATCGTAGTAGTCCTCCGTCATTTCCAACCAGCACTTGTCCTGAAGCTCATCGAACAGTCGCCCGACTATGGAAACGACGGACCGGTCGTCGGGTGCAAACCTGTCATTTTCGGCCCTCACTTTCTGGGGGACCGAAATCCTCGTGAGGTGCAGGAAGTTGGACTTCGACTTGCGCGGGATTGACACCCATCCCGCGCCCGGGACTTCGACTCGCGCAGGATTGACACCCATCCTGGATGCCAAATCATGTCATGGCCCCAGTCCACCTTAGGCGAATGACTTTGTGGCTCAAGCAGGAAGTGGATGTTGTCATCCTTCCAAGACGGATGATCGGTCGGAACGTCGGACCCGGGACTCAATGTGCACGGTGGGACGGCCACAACTCTGAGTTTCTCCAGCAACTTCATCAGCGTAGTGCCCAGCGCCGGTCTGGCCGTCGGTGACATGAGGGGTGCCACGCTTGATGATGAACCAGTCGACGACCACCCTCGGGCGTGCTCCGCCGGATGTGGGTCATACTGCAGGTCAAGGCTCTCGGTCTTGCTCTCCTCCTCCTTCGCATTGGCGTCGAACTCCACACTGGTGGCTGCCTCGTCGTCACTGGAGATCAAGGAAGCGTAACAGCCAAACTTCAACTGCTCCTCGGACTCCACGAAGTACAGCGACTGCAGCCTTTCGAGAAAGGTCTTCGCGTTCATGAGGGAGGCGAAGTGGTGTTTGTCGAGCAATGCCAATATGTGTTCCTTGTGGCGGACGTACTCGGTGTCTGTGTCCTTCCTCAGCCGCGTTTGAAGGAACAAGAAGTCGTATATCTTGTTCCTCTTCCTCTCGCTCAACTTGAACCACATGTCCATTTTTTTACTCCACACCGAATCCCGTGTCGCCTTCATGACCATGAACTCTCAATTGTGCGCCCCCGAATTGACCTCGCTTTTGACCAGTTGCATCGTGAATTGCAAGATGTCGGAGTTCCCTTCCATTGCGACGACGTGTCGGCCTGCCTTCAGAAGTTCCCACACGCTTCGCATGTGCGGTTTCCCAAGGAAGACGACATCCTCTCCCTTCTTGCTAAGGAAATTAAGAAGACCGACGAGTTGTATCGGATTGCGTTCCATGTCCCCGTAGACACTGCTGTGTCGTTTTTGCGTGGTCTACGACCAGTCGCAAGGCGTGAAGGGAATCTCCGACACATTTGTCTGGGTAACCCTCTGAGGCAACCGCACCGCAGCAGCGGCACCCTTAGGCAACCTTCCCTCATAGACCACAGACGTGTTGACATGCAGATCGTCACCTTTGAAGGGATGTACATGCGGTCGTCTTCCGTGTACAAATTGTTCCCCACGGGGAAGCTTTTCTTTTGCTGGTTCTTCCTCACCCACTTCCCTTCCAGTAGCTTCACGAAAGAAAGGTGGTGCATGCTGGCGGGAAACGAGAGGTTTTGCTGCCGCGGTACGAAAACAATGAGAGTCCAATGCAACGGACACCATGTCTGAAGGTAGGAATTCAAAGTCTCCTACGCTTGGGGTTTCCACAGTTTGAGGTCAACCGGCTCGCATAGATCGAGGATGAACGTGTGGCTCTTTGTGGCAGCCACTGCTTCCTTCATCTTTGCACTCATGATGTCCGCCTCCAAAGGGTCGTTGTCGAATGGTGCGATGGATGTCACGCCCCCCGTGTCTTTCCATTTGATACAGGCAATGCCTTCGACAAGTGCGATCTCCCAACTCTTCAGTCTACTCCCAGTCAACACAGAGAGAACCTTGTTTCTCCAGTCGACGGTCAACTTCTCGTGGCCTGCCAACTTTTCCGTCGCCTCGATCGAGTGGTCCTCCTCAAAACCCATATACGGAGGGCAGTTCTTGAACAGCGCCGAGTCTGAAACGTATTTCCTGCTACCGTCCCACAAATCGTCATCCAAACCCCGACTTTCAAACTTCCTGAACACGACAGACCTCGATTTTAGAAAATGGTACTTTTGCATCCAATTGGCGCCTGACCTCTTCTCGTGCTTGAATTGGTAATAATTCCACAACCGGACCAGCACGTGGTCGCACTTCACCAACTGCACCATTTCCTGCACGCTGAGCTTCCCCAGCTTCACCAACGGTGGGGAAATGGCCTGGACCCAAACGACCTCGCAAGCAAGCACCTTATTCAGAACGCGACATTTCTCATTGTCGGTAAGTGATTCCATCGCTTTTCAGCAATGCGCGTCCAGGTCCGGCACTCGTACGAACCAATCACCCTCCTCTTTCTCCTGTTTGTTTTTCTTAGTAGGCGGCTCCACGGGGACGTTGTACACCACCTCCTTTCTTCCCAACTTGTCGTTGTCGACGTAGGTGACCCCAGGCTTGACGTTTTTGACCTTCTTCTTCTTCAAGATCCACTTTGCTCCATCATGGCTCAGCAATCTACCCGTCTCCGATTTTTCAAAAAAATCCATGGCCAGTTTCTAGACATTTTCTCCGGCCATCGCCAGAGGGAAATAAGAACGCAGGGAACCACTTTGCTTCTTAATGGCTTCCTCTCCTTTTTGATCCATGAGAATGCACAAGTTGTTGTGCGGCGCCTTATAAAGCGCCGTTGTACAAAACTTGCGCCAATTCCGGACCTGATCTTGTTTCCCGATAGGGTTCCCCATGACAGCTCTAGGAAAACCGTCATGCTTCCACTGCCACCGTATGTCTTTCATAGACAGTTTCAACTGTCTAGGAGGTGCCTTGAGGTCCTTCTTGTTGTCTTGCGCACTAACAAGAAAATACCCTTCGAAGTCATTGTTTGACAAGTACAGCATTCGTGTCGGCCACCGCTTGAAATTGTACTTCCTGGTCACTTCCCTGCCGAGCAGCGATTGGGCTGCAGTCGCGTTATGCTGCCCGCACACCGAGTAGTAGTAGTTTTGTCCTGCCAACTCGTCCTTCTATTCCTCCGGCTTCAGACGTTGTGCCTTGCTCCCAGGAGTTAGTTTTTGCAGCCCTAGCGGCGCGAGCTTCAAGGTTGGCAACTCGTACGACTGTTCTTTGTTTTCGAACGCCAACCGCATCGCTTCTTTGATCCCCTCAACCAGGACGGGATCCAGGGACCGCTGGTTGTACAGATTCTCCCACTCCCCGAGGTCGGCGACTTGAGCCAAGCTAATTTCAAACTCCCGCTTTGTACTCCGGGAAGTACCCGGCGTCCACATCGATGTCAGGCCGTAGCGAGGAAGGCCCCGACGCAGACTGCTTCTGTTTCGAAGCCGAACACTTGCTACGCGGGCGGTCCTGTTCCCCCCCGTTCCCTTCCCTTTCTCCCCCGCACTCTTAGGAACCTTGGTCTTCTGTTTCTTCGAAGAGCCGACCAAGTCGTCTTCACGATCTCCCCTTCTTTTTTGTGGAGTGTCCTGCGTCCCCTCTCCGCCCACGGTCTCGTCCTCCGTGTCATGCCCCTCGGCAGTCTCCAAGTCGAGCTCACACTGCGCTGCCGCACTTCGGGATCCGCTGCAACCTCCTCTCGAACCGCTGCTGCTTGCCGGACCCCAGGTATAGACACCACGGACCGGTCTCTTCAGGTCAACGGCGAAGACGTCGCCAGCGGTGTTGCCTCATCTTCGCTGTCGTCGAATTGACTGCGGCTATCCGGCCGCTGTCGAGCACATCGGTCCGACACCTCACGTGGCATCGTGGGACCCTCTCGGCCGCGTCACGCAGGAGTTGGACCAACCTCGTCGCGAACACTCAAATGGAGTTTTCTTAGGCCGCTCCGGTCGAGTGCGCCAGCCATACCTCTCGCGAGCCCCTACTACAGGATAGAGCCTACGCGAGGCACAACTTACCTCCACCTTACGGGAGTTGTCACCTCCCTTCGGTGGGCGTATCCCCGCCGAGCTACCAGTCCACAGTACGAATGTTGATCAGTTGCAATCGCAGAGGTAGGCCAGCCGAGGGTGTTTCTTGTTCGCTGTAGCATAGGGAGTACGCGCGGTAATACGCCTATTGGACCCGCACGTGAACCGACATCTTGGGGGGCTGAAGTCCCAAGCGCGGCTCGTTGCCGGTCGACTAGGACGCCATCCCACACACCACGCGTACACCACTTAACAAACACACACGAGAAAAATAGAACACACACACACACACACGAAATGACACAATTATAAACAACGCAACAACACTCCTAACCCCTCGGTAGCCGTCCCATAACTTTTCCGATGCGGAAACCGAACGTTCGTGGCCCGCGAAGCTTAGTATAAAGTCACGCGGACACAAGGCTAACTCATATCGACTCGCAATGCGAGCGTTCGCAAGCAGTCGCAATGATGGCGTACTTTGTAGTGCCCATAATCAAGCGGTCCCTCATGGATCCGAGTACCGCTTATGACACTCACATGTCAGACTCGAAGCGTCGTGGGGGGTTAATCTCTCACGACATTGCACGGCTGAAAGAATAACCGTGCCACCGCCACGAGACCTCCGGCCTTTGGTCTGGGCGTCTCGGTAGGCAAGGCAAATAGGCTCTGCACGGGGAAAGATTCCTTCCCTGCAGAGCCTAGGGCTTGGGATGTTCTGGACAAGGACCTCGAATTCCGGCCCAGGACCAACGTCCGACTACGAAAACCCAAAAAAACAAACAATTAAACGGAAGGGTCTTCCTTATGATACCCAGTTTTAACCTCTGAGTACGCCTTTAGTACGGAGCCCCATAGGCCTCGGGAACACCCACCATAAGTACACCCAAGCATACACACGTAAGGGAGTTAAAGTTGCGACGATCACTTCTCACAGTCTAAGTGGTGTTTTCCACAACCATGCGTATATATGTGATCGCAGACAAACAAAGTCCGAAATCTGAACCACAAAACATACATGCAATCGCATCAAAGAACCAAACAACAGTCCACGCACTACACGGAGTCAACCCCAACCATTCTCTACACTCATACTCCTCGCTTTAGCCATGCAAGCCCCAATCTCCTGTCCAACCAACCATAACTAAATACTCAGTACCTTTGTTAAATGGCCATCCAATAAAAGTCCGGGTGAAACCTTAATAAAACAATAAATTCACCAGGGCCAAATCCTTTTAGGTTGAGAGTGGAGGGTGAGTTGAAATTGAATCGTAGACCGACGGATCGGCAACGGACCTGTCATCAGTGATAACAGAGGAGGATCTTCCCGGGATCAAGCTGAACCTAATCCAGATCCTGAATCAGATTGATTAAGATGGCCTGTAACACATGACAGGTCAATACCCACGACTAAATCTATAAGTTTATGGGGAACAATGTCCATATCACGATCTCACTCAAACAATCCTAATTAACTAAGCCTAAGCCTACCCTTAAACAGTGCCCAGAGCAAGGGTAGACCTTGGCAGTGTCTCCTCTATACCGGGTGGATTGCCAAAGTCACCACCTGTCAAAATATAATCTATCTCCTTTAAACTAAGAAAATTTCGGCAGCGCTTCCTATAGGGAAAGTGCCTTTTCAAAATTTGTATAACCCGAATATGAAAACAGAAATAGCCTTTGACTTTCCAAAGTCCAATTTTGTCTAACTCTATGAATCAGCAAAAAATTGGGCAGCACTCCCTTTAGAAAAGGAGACTTCCCAGATTTTTACTAAGCCATATGCGAACCTTAGACAAGTTGAACTTTGAAAAGTCAGAATTTGACTAACTCCTAGGATTTGTAGAAATTTCGGCAGCGCTTCCCGTAGATAAAGTAGCTTACCAAAATTTACACAAGCCCTAGTATAATAAACGATCTAAAAAAATGCGAGAATTGATCTTAGTAAAATAAACTTGGCTCAGAAACTGCAGGAATTGACCATACTCCTATCGCTCTAGCACGTGGCGAAACTCTAAAGCAATTGCCTATCAACCTAAAACTCAGACCAAGTAGTAACCTTAGTCAGCCACATGCAATGCCAAGCCAC